CCAGCAGAAGGCGCGCCCCGAGAGCCTCCCCGCTCCGGCCGCCACGGGGGATGGCGCGGCGGACGCTGCCCCTTCTGCCGTGACGGGACCGCGCCGCCGCCGCCGGCCGCCTCCCCCCCGCCAGCCCCGGGCATGCCGCTGCCTGCCCGCCCCGCTGCTCCGCCCTACCCGGACCCCGGGATGGGCCGCGGGAGCTGATCGGTCGGGGAGGCCGGGGGGAGCGCCGGGGAGGATGAGCCACGTGGGGAGCCCGGTGAAAGCCTACGATTTCCTGCTGAAATTCCTGCTGGTGGGAGACAGCGACGTGGGCAAGGGGGAGATCCTGGCCAGCCTGCAGGACGGGGCCACCGAGTCGCCCTACGGCTACAACATGGGTAAGCTCTACCCACACCTCGGGGTGTCTCTGCCCCACGGAGAGGTCCGGACCCGCCCCGGGGCCACGGCCACGCAGGAGGCAAAGGCCACGGCCCGTGTGGCGACTGCCCGGGCTGGGAAATGGGCACAGCTCCTGCTTCTGGGGGTAGTGGAGCTGCCGGGTGGTGCCAGAGGAGAAGGGGGTGCAGGCAAAGGGGTGCTGAGCCGCTGGAGCTCTCAGAAAGGAGGTGGAATCCTTGTCGGGGTTTAAAATCCCAGGCGGGTGATCGAAATAGGTTATGAAACTCAAATTTAAGAGAAACATCTTAATATGCACAATGTATCGATCGGGGTGACAGGGGTTGTGATAGGATTTTTCTTCCTAAGCACTTCTTCTGTTGTCGTCGGTGAGTAAAGTAAAATGCTAATGAGTGAAAATACCCATCAAAATGTTTTTCTAGTAAACGATCTTTGTTAAACAGCAAAGCTGTTTGCTGTGAAACTGCGCCCACTGAAAGAGCAGAGAAGCAGATGTATTTTTTTTCTCCTTTTCTCTCACTGTCATGTTGTTAATATCAGCAGAGTAGCCCTTTAAGATCAAGGTTCGTGTTTGTAGTATGTTCTTTCACTTAAGCTTTTTAAAGGGCAAGACTGAAGAGCCTCATCCATGCCAGATACCTTCTCTCTGCAGAACAGGGAGTTGTGAGCCTTGCAGACAGTTAAAACTAAGCGATGGCTCGGGGGAAAGGGGATTTCTAATTTCCCTCCCTCGCATTCACCTCTTCTCACTCCCCCGATCCTGTTTGCCTGGAACAGACTGTAATTTCACTTTTTTTTTTTTTTTCCCCTCATGCAAATCTACCTTCGGCATATTAAAAAGCAAATTATCTTGTCAAGTTACCCATTGCTTTAATTTACTGCCAGTCTGTGAGCAGTTAATTTAGTGGAAGGGTTTACTTCGTATCTGTTTGTTATTATGCGAGTTCATAGTAGTGAGTCAGAGCGGAGAGAGAGCTGGGGCGAGGGAGGAGAGTTCTCTCCACCATCGCTCCTGACTCAGACGGTACCTTGCAGGCACCAGTGTGTGTTTGGAGATGTCTGCTTAAGAGTTTTGCTAACTCACTCCTTGGGGTGTTGCGGCGTGTTTACACTTTGTGCTCTTCAGGTGGCTGAAGAAAAGGGACCCAGGCAGCATGGGGGGAATGTGCCTGGTCTGGCTCTGTTCTGCACACACAACCTAGAGAATAAATCCTCACGTTGAAGGAGGACTTTATCCTGCAGTGTAACTGAGAGAGTCTCTGAGCGGCTCCTGTGCTCACCAGTCTTACTTCAGGCTTTTGCCTGTAAACCTTGTGATGCTTGTGGTTTTGCTCTTAAAAAATATTTAAATCGTTTGGCTAGCATTGTAGCTCTGTGAACAGATTCCTTGACAGCCAAAAAATACAAATATTCTAGGACTTTATCCTGCAGTGTAACTGAGAGAGTCTCTGAGCGGCTCCTGTGCTCACCAGTCTTACTTCAGGCTTTTGCCTGTAAACCTTGTGATGCTTGTGGTTTTGCTCTTAAAAAATATTTAAATCGTTTGGCTAGCATTGTAGCTCTGTGAACAGATTCCTTGACAGCCAAAAAATACAAATATTCTTTTTGAATTATTCTGCAGGTATTTAACTTGCAGCTTGGAAGTTCTTCGATGTTACTAATAACTTCAAAATGTATAGAATCATAGAATGGTTTGGGTTGGAAGGGACCTGAAAGATCATCTAGTTCCAACCCCCCTGCCCTGGGCAGGGACACCTCCCACTGGAGCAGGTTGCTCAAGGCCACATACAGGGCTGTACGTTTTATGCACTATTTCATGGACTGTAGTTTCTTCAGCAGGATGTTCATCAAGCAGAACTACACAAGGTCAGGCAAATAGAGTGATTCAGGACCTCGCAAACTCTCTATGCAAAGGTCGCTGTTTCACAGAGACTGAAAGAAGTTCTTAGCTCGGAGAAGATGAATGTGTCTGAAGAGAAGGATATGAGTTACAAGGGGAGGGCAGATAAATGTAGTAAAATGCAGAAGGAGTATAATCTGATTTTTAATTTTATGCAACTAGTGTCATAATTATCAATCTTTGTACATACTGAGCCTCAGAGTTTGTACAATCACAGTACACTGTCTAGTCTCACCTAAGGAAGGATTTAAACCATGAAAGTTCACAAAAAATATTTTCTCGCTCTTCAATTTATAATGTTCTTGAATGTATCAAATGGAAATACTTTTGGACACAGCAGGTCAGCTGCCCAGTTCTGCTGGTGGTCCCTATCCCATATCCTGGCTCTGCCTGTATCCCTTCAGCCTTGCCCGCATGGTTTGAGCGTGGCTGCGTAGGATGCAGCTGTGAGGAATCTGTGCAGACTCATGGACTATGAAAATAGAGATGTAGGGAGAGAGATAGCGCTAAACATCCTGTTGGTATTATGACTCATTTTCTAATTTAACTTGATTTAAAAGCTTCATAAATGATGGCTTTTCCACCATTTTCAAGTCCTTAGTTAACTGCTAGCCTCTACCACTTTTGTAACGCCGGCTTGGTCTCTGAATCAGAAAGAGAAAGTCTAGTGGAATGATAGATTCTGTCAAAATGTGCCACGTGTATAAGGTTTGAAATGACAAAACTCTGTGGAGCTTGATGAAAGGGAATGGCATTGAGACTGCAAAAGAGGAGAGAGATGGTGTGGGAACAGGCAAGAGCAATAGAAGAGGGAGAGGAGGAGCACTGAAAGGCCTTCAAAATGAGAACAAACAAGTTAATGTGATGAAGTATGGGAATTTGGGCAGTTGTTTGAATTTGTATATGCAAGAGAGACAGAATTTGATGTTTATTGCTACAAGAAAGACCTTGTTCCCGCTCCTGAAATTTAGTAACTCAAGGTGGAAATATGAATGTTGAGCAGTTTGGAATAACAAGCTCCAAAAGGTGATCAAGATGAAGGACAGATGAGGCCTTGAAGAAGACCAGCTGTCCAGAGAACTTACCACTTCTGTGGATAAAATGGAAAGATAACCGTGATGTTACAGGTCTGGGTTTCAGAAAGGACAGCCATGCATTAGGGTTGAGGAAGAAAAGTCAGAATTTAGCTTTGATATAGGGTTCTTCCTTGTGCTCAGCAAGAGGAGGTGTCACCAAGGTGTGCTGCAGTGCTCTAAGAAGTAGAGAGACAGAGAGTTTATAAAGGAGGCATAGGGAGGGACAAGGTGTTGAACAGTGTTACCCTTCCTTTGGGAAGAAGGAGAATGAACCCTTTGGGATATTGAGAGAGGTGGAAGACTCAGAATCATAGAATGGTTTGGGTTAGAGGAGACCTTAAAGACCATCCAGTTCCATCCCCCTGCCCTGGGCAGGGACACCTCCCACCAGACCAGGTTGTTCTAAGCACCATCCGGCCAGTTGAGTGAGGATGGACCCATGAGCAAAGAAGGACCAAGGGGCTTTTAGTCAGTTGTTGTATTCAGCAGCATCAAAGACAGTTAAGCAGACAAGAAGGAAGAAGGTAAAATAAAAGGTGGAGTTGACTAGAACAGTGTGTGTGGGGGGGATTTTTTCAGCCATTGGATTCCTGAAGGCTTTACATGCAGCTCTGTAACAGTCTCATCTCAACTCTATGGACTCAAACTTCTATTGTATAAACACAGATTCATTTTTCACCGACACTTTTTTAACTATTCAAAAATAAATCTGCCATCTTTCTTGTTCCCAGGAAAATATGGCAATCGTATGTCTTGCTATTTGTTTGCCAGTGCACAGAAATGATATGAAATCTGGAGATGGGAAGGAAAGCCAGCATCGTGTGATCAGTCAGGTCCCTGCAAGCTGCTACTGGTCCACAAGCCATGGTTTGAAAGCATTTGGCATAGTTTGGCTATTAATGAGTATAATTTCTTGGTCTCTGAATTTTTCTTGATGACCAACGGGCTGTGGGTTGGAAAGGAGAAGGGAAGAAGCTTTATTAACATAACAAAGTAAGGACCGCTTTGGAAGATTCATCAAGAACATGATTCATCGAGATAATTTAGAAAGCAGTTATCCTGGAGAGGGGCAGGCAGGCAGGAAGGTTAGTTGTCTGGGTAACCTGCCTTTATAGTTCTCCCACATCTTGCTCAAAACTGAAATTACAGTAGATTGGACACACTTGATCTCTAACCTGGTAAGAAAAACTGCACATAAATGTTCTCAGAGACAGCTGCAGAAACGGTGCTTTTAAGTGTTGTTAATTTCTCAGCCAAATACATTCAGAGGAAATAATTGCTTGTAGGCTGGAACATAATCCCTTAGGTGTGCTGTCACTAGGTAGACAAATATTTTGATGTTTTGCACTAACAGATTTTTATTCAGCTGGATTCTGGTTTTGCTTTCGTACTGCCATACGCTTGCAGTGTGATTGCTTGACACAGGCACTGAAAGGAATGATTGTTCCAACCTGTGTACTCCTACTCTTTTTTTTTTTTTTTTTTTTTTTTTTTTTCTCTTGCAGGAACATCAGGTTTAAACTGACAAATTGTCTCTCCTTTCTCACCTAGCAACCTTTTCATATCCTCTCAAGTTATTATCACAGTGGTTTGCCTTCCCATGAATTCCGTCCGTCCTTAGATTGAGAACTTCACTGGGGTATTGGATGGCTTATCTGAATGCTTGAAAAGATCCTGGTGTGTCATAGTTGTGGGTGTTAATAAGTGGTTGTCTTGATTGCTAGCACAGGCCAAGAGCTTGGGTGGCCCAACCTCAGCCAGACATTTTGGGAAGAGCCAGGTCACCCTTACACGTAGGGAGCATTTCTAGCGGGGTGGCTGTCCCCTGCTCGCATCCCAGCACACAACAGTTCATGGTGGCTCTTCCTGATAAATTAATACCCAGATCAAAGCCATCCTTTGGTGTGAAGAAGAGGGAATGGGCCCTATCTGAAATAAGGAAACAAGAGGAAATATTGCTAACGTAAGAAATTAAAAGACTTAGATTTATGAGCTGACTGTGGTT